AGCCGCTTCAGAGATTACTGAAGTATTTGCACATGATTTGGAAAATCGCTTCACTTCATTTGACCTTGCAAAAAGCCAAGAAGTCCAAACAACTATCTCCGATTAGTCTCCTATCCTTTTTTTCCAAGATTTTTGAGCGGATGACTAGGCCAGTTTGGCTTTCGTAGTCGCCATTGAGCTGTTGAGCAAGTGTACAGAGTATTGGGTGCTTTGGATTATCGTCTTTCTTGAACATCAGGCCTTTAATAGAGTTTGTCACGAAGGTATCTTTTACAAACTAATGCCACTTGCCTGAAGGACTATGGAAGCTAATCGTATCATTCTTGGATAAAAGGGAGCTTGCTGTCGACATCCGTGGACATCGTTCTGGACTACGCCCAATTCGTGCTGGGGTCCCGCAAGGAAGCGTCCTTGGGCCGGTCCTGTATACAGTTTATGCATCGGATCTTCTTAACCCAGTTGCACGCGGTACACTCCTGGTCACCTATGCAGATGACACTGCATTTCTTGCAGTTGGTAGTACCTTATCATTTGCCTCCCGGCGGGTCCAAACATGCTTAAATGAATTTGAGTGTTGGGCTTCTCGGTGGAACATTGCACTGAACGTCGACAAAACGCAGCACGCCACTTTTGCTCTCCGCCCTGGCCGTTCGCTTAGCCTTGATAAGAAGAGTCGTAAGCATGAAGACAAGGTGACCTACCTTGTTGTAACATTGGACTATCGCCTTTGTTGGAAAGGACAAATTGACCACGTCGACGCCGTCTCCGCAGAAAGCACCCAGCGGACCTGTGGTATTTTGGCCGTGATAGACATGGGGGTCTCTTATAACAACACAAGAATACTGACAAACTTTAACCTGCCCTGCACCTAATACCCGAATATTTGGGATCTTTGAACGAAGACAAGGACCATCGTTGTGTGGCGTGTAAAATAAATAATTCACAAAAAAAGGTATATTTGGCTTAAATCTTTCACCTACTGCTATAATACAACCCCGTCAACAGTACACGGGTATTGTTCCTTTGAATTAGTATTTGGAAAAAGTCCGACACAATATTCATTTCTACAGACCACAACAGTAATTCCCTTATATAACCATGAAGCCTACGATAAGGAAGTTAGATATAGACTTTTAATAGCCCAAAACAGAACAAATCCATTTATGCAAAAATAAAAGGAAAAACAGAACTACTAATTATAATGAGAAAAGGTATAATTAAAAAACGAAACGGGACATAAGCTAGACAACGCTTGTAAAGGATTTCATCTATTAGTCAGTATGGATGAGGATTAGAGGATCACAAAAAGAAGTAAAATATTATTATAATTTCTTTCAGAATAATTGTATTCTCTAATTATATCGTTTAAAAAATATAGTTCTCGAACTACATTGTTATTCACTACTGCATGTGTTTACTGTATCTTTGTTATCGTGAGCATTCTGTAATTGTACTCCAATACAAACAGCTAATAACATTTTTGATCATTTCAAATCTTCATATAACAATCAGAAGAAATCTGAATCTGAACTAACACGAATTCACACAAGTGTCTCCTCCGCTAAGCACTGTGATCAGACGGCTCAGTTATGTCGGGTCAGCATAAATTTCTTTGGCAACAGCTTGGCCGCTGCTCATGTGCTGACGGATAATCCTATACATACTAACCAAATCACCTATGGTCTTAGGTGTAAATTTGAAACACATTTGAATAAAGAATCATTCACTGTTGGCTGACCATACGGGCAACATTCACTAAAACCTTAAAAGCTGGCGTTCGCATTTAGTTTCAGTATCGGACCATTACACTACACTCCTGAGCTAAAAAATACTACTAAGTCAGTGTAAACGACTTCCTAAAAAGTATGCTTCTGGAACTCGTAACAGCACACTGCAGGTTAACAGTGGCACTGAAACTGCGCTGTTAAATAAGTTCGAAGAAGACGAGGCCCCCGAGCACCGATGGAAAGCAGCCTGGTGCCGAGAAGCAACGGTCCAAAAAAAGCGTCCCAGAAAGAGCTGAGAACTGGGGAAAATGCTGGACGAGATGATCCGTAAATTCACGGACACTAACGGCAACAACAAGAAGGTTGTTGGCAATGTCTCGCAGGCCACGATTAGCTCGGTGCAGGAAATGAAGGAGTGCAGGGTGAGAGCAACCAAAGGTTGGGCGCAAGGATCTGCACCTGATGTAGCATCTGCAACGAAGTCTGGAAATGGGGGAGCCAACACCAACAGCAGACCCAAAGGAAGCCCTAGCTGCAACAGACTAAGCCAAAAAACAAGAAGAGCAAACGTAGCGCTGAGAGCGAAGCCCAGAAGTCAGCGACCAGATGACTTCCTGGTCAAGTGCAGCGAAGGCTCCTATAGATATGCTGATGATAGTCAGGTGGAACCGGTTGGCAGGGCGTAAAGGTGCAAGGCATCCGAAGGACAGCGGAGCTGGTTGGCAGGGCCTACATGACAAAGCACAAGACATCCGAAGGGCAGCGGAAGACTGCTACTCAGGATGCAAAAGGATCTGTCAAAGGTGGCTGTCGTGCAGGTTGAGATCCACGACTTGGATGAGATGACCAGCGGCAATGGGCTCCTGGCGGAACCCAAACGGCGACCAGAACAGAGGATCCTGGAAAATGGCAAGACCAGGGTTGGGTGAGTCGTCTGCCGCATAAGGGTGTAGATGTTATACAGGCATGGGCTATGGGCACACCTCCGCCAGTCTTGGATGAGAAGCAGGCCACAAGCACATCAAGTATACCCAAAGCAAGCCAAAATGCATTCTTTGCTCCAAAAGAGACAAATCAGAGAGAGATGTTAACTGAAGTCTTTTCCTTCGCGGACTACTGCGCAAGGGGATTTCGGACTACCTCATTCAAAAGATAGCCGACTATTTAAGGGAACGTGTACTTATCTACAGCTCCGATACTGGACTGCACGGGCACCAGGTGACCGGAGGTGTACCCCAAGGCTCGGTACTTGGACCCATCTTGTCATTTATGACGAGAACCTTAGGCTGGTTCTACCCGATGGGTGCACTTTATTGAGCTTTGCGGATGACATAGCGTTGGTAACGATGGAAAAAGAAAATGCATCCGGTCCATCGACATGTTTATGAGCTGGCTCGCTGGCAAAGGGCTTCCTTTGACGGAGCATAAAACGGAGGCGGTGCTTACGCACAGCAGAAAAGCCGTCGGGGTTCTGATCGACCACAGGCTGCCATACAAAGCGCCAAAGGCGACAGCAGCGATTTCAAGGATGTTGGCCCACATGAGAGGGCCAAAGCAGCACAGAAAGCGACTCATAGTCACTGTGGCGACTTCAACGATTCTATAGCCACGCCCATTTGACCCGAGGTTATGAGTTGAACTTTGGCAGGAGAGACGGACGCACAGGCTGATCCCCAGCATAGCTCCTTGGCTTAACAGAAGGCATGGACAGGTGGATTTCTGGGCACGGTTGCTTCAAGGCGAATCTTTCATGTTAAACATGAGAGTGATCCCATATGGAGAGTTCTGCGGCAACACCACCAGCGAAGATGCAGAGAATGCATTTTTTGCCCGCCCCTCTACATATCTGACCGCCATTCGCCTCGCGTAGAATATCCTTGCGGCAGTTTCGCGGGAGCGCCATCTTTTCTTTTTATTCTTTACACCATCCTCTATCTTCGCAACCATTTATCTGTTCTTTAAATATACAAGTATATATGTATATATTTAAGCTTCATTCAAATAACAACAAAAACAAAAAGCGGCGAAGAAAAGGTTACAATCTTTACCATCCGCCAACGAACCAATTCATTCTCCCGATCGTTCCAAACGTAGATCCTTTGTCCCCAATTACTCTTTAAACATGCACAGATTTAAAAAGCAATAAAGAACAGCTGAACACAAAAAGCTCCTGGCTAAGATTTAATTTCGCCCTCGATGATAATCGAGCTACCTACATGTGCAGTTATCTGGACTACTATAATTTTTAATTCTATACCTAAATGGGGCTACTTTCCTCCCCAATGGAAAAAATCAGTTATAACAATAATCCCGCGGCACATCGAATATTGCATCGATTGCGTTTGGCTCGACGGATCGGTTTATAAAATTAAGGTCCTTATGCCACAAAGCATTCACAGTTTGCTTGAGTCGTATCTCACAAACAGACTCTTCACCGAACTTATAAAAAACCATCTCGTGGTTGTAAAAAAAAAGACTAGCTGACTGGCGTATACAAGTCAACGAGCAAAAATTTAAGCATATCACGTTTAGGATCAATTGAGACATTCGCCCACTTTTAGCCCTTAATAATAAACCAATTCCACAAGTAGACAAAGTAAGCTATCTTGGTATCCACCTAGACAAGCGACTTACCTGGAGAAAGCATATAGAAGCAAAGAAGACCTGCCTAAGACTGAAGGCCAACAGTTTTCATTGGCTTATTAACTCCCGCTCTCCGCTTCAACTTGAATACAAAGTATTACTGTATAACTGTATAACAATCTAAAATTCTGAGAACAATCACTGGTGTCCCCTGGTATATTCGCAACGCCAACATCCACAGAGACTTGAATATAAAACCCGTCAAAGAAGAAATAGAGAGCAGAAAAGTTAACTATATAACTGTCAATACATCCAAATCAACTAGCCGACTTAATTATTGTTAGCAAAGTGAGATTATCCAATAAATAAAATTCTATACCACAAAAGAAAGAAGAAATTCTTGACCTTCAACTGTTAGCGGTGGGCGAGTCTCTGTTCGCTCTCAGCTTGAAGTGTTTTCCAGTATGGTTCCAGTTTGGCAAATGATGGCATCTTAAATTGGCTGGCTGTGTATCAATTAGCGTTCCTTTTTGTTGTGAGCTAGAGTTTAGAACTATGTATTTAAAATAAAATCTTGATTATTTGATGATTTTTGAGTCTACATACAGATTCCTCGACTTTTTGGAAAATACATTTTTATATGGGTTAAACCCAAAATTAATTTATTAATTTTCATCACTTTTTAGAATACTCTCTATGAATACATATTGGACGCAATAGCGAGACGTGGTGACAATCGTGGCAAAAGTCTTATAACTGATTATACAGTTTTACGAAAAGTAGGTATGCCTAATAAAATTGTTAAACAAATTAATCGACAAAATTAAAATAGATTTGGACCCATCCCAAAGTTTTAGAGGACGCTTGGAAAAATGCTAATAAGGTAAGTGACAATTTTGTAATGTTCGTTTTGGAACCATATTTTCGGCTACATTTAAATTACCTTTCAGGGTAGCGGGTCGTGAACTTTTTTTGGCAGGGAGATTCAAATCAGGACAAGCTTAATTGCATGACTACGGCAGATAAGACTTGATTTTTACTTTAATTCGGCAACACAAATTTGATGGCACTTCTCTGCTCAATTAAATCAGACATAGCACACTGGGCCCGAAGTTTAGCCAAAAGTCGTTTTTTTTTAATTGAGAAAATTATTAAAATAAGAAAGAATAAGTAAAATAAGAATTTATTTTTAAAGTTGCAAGATTATGCAATATTGAATACAAAGTCAAAAAATCTAGTTGAAAGAGATGAATACTTATCTTAACGAAATGCATCATTGCATAATGTCAAGTAAAAATTTAACTTAGCTAAATTTCTTACTTTTTTATAAATTACCGAAAAAAAACTTTAAAATATCATGAATTTTCTCGCAATGGCATAGAATTAGAATTTAGAAATACTTTCGGGTACCCTTCGGAAATGAAGTGTTATGTTATGTTATTTTATTTTCTCGTACGAGAACTAAAATAAACATATATATATAATAGTGCATGCGCTGCAAGGGCCCGTATGAAGACGTCATAAAGCATTTTAAATTTAAAAGATATTTAACCAATATAACTATTATATATAATATTTTACTTTTGATGATGCTGATTCAAAGATGAAACAGAAAAAATATATATATTTTTGTTGAATCGATTATTTTACTAATATCGGCGCCGCGGGCACAAAAATGTGAAATTTTTTAAAGTAGATAAATCTAAATCCTCTTAAAATTTTAAAATGTGTATTTTAAGTTGATAAGTCTAAAACCACTTAAAATTTTTAAATGTGTGTTAAAATGATTTGTTTTTGGATATAAAATATGCATATATTAGATATATTTTCCGAATTTGTTTTGGATTTACTAAAACTTGAAAATCCCTATAATTTTATTTTAAGTTGGTTGATAAGTTCAATCTTTTAAGAACATAATTTCCCTTTTTCCAGTATACATTTTTTGGGCCAAAAGCTATAGCTCTTTGTGTATAGCTGCTGAGTAGAAAGTTGTATACACATAGTATTTTACGTAAACGGCGAGAGCCCGGTAGATATGATGACTAGGCTCTGGCCGTTGCCCGCTACATTTAAGCGCGATCATATATTTTTGCACTTGAAATGTGTTGGGCTCATGAGCTTATGAGTTCAACAACAAAGTGTTGATATTTGGTTTATGTTTATGCAACAATCTTTGTGCTCTTTAGTTGTTACACTTATTAACAGGGCTCCTGCTGCTTGATACAGTTGTATCCCTCCACTAGTTCCTCTTTTCTGCTAATGAACTCTATCTGGTCTTAATTTTTTGCCATTATGCTTGGTATTTGCACGGTAGAGGGGTTTTCCTTCCCCTTCTGTTGCTCCATTTCCCCGATCCCGCTGGTGTCATTTGTTGTATTCTCTTCATTGTTTGAGTGTCTTTTGGTTATTTGCTAAGTCTATTGAGTGTTCCCTAGATGTAATTGCCATTCCTTATGAGCTCCGACATCTGCCTTCGCATTTTGTTCTGGTTTGCTTAAGAAACGTTTTCAATTGGGATTTGTTGGTACTGGTCACCCGTCACGGGTATAGGAAAACGAACTGTGTGTAAACGAGAACGGGAAACACGGGAAAGAACGCTACGGTATGTACTTATATTTAAGTAATAGTAAATAAGACAATAGATAATTCCATTGAAATGATCTCGTGCTCAACGGGGTACTGGCCGTGTCTCCTGCGTTTATATTGCTCCGTCGGTTTCTCTTATCTTGCTCTCTGTTGCCTCTGCACTGTATTGTGGCGTTACTTCTACCAAATGCAGTTCTCCGATCACACGAGAAATTCAAAGCCTACACGACAATTCAATGGATTCAAAGCCTACACGACAATTCAATGGAAGTTGTTAATTATTTTAGAACTACGATTTAAATTTGATTAAAATCGTTCGAAGCTTGCAAAAACTTTTCTATCTATGAGCTTGGCTTGTAAAACACTGACAACTATGTTTGTAAACAGAAAAATAAGGCGCAAAAAACAGACCGGGAGGGTGAGAATAAAATACTACAGAGAGTTAAAAAAACAAACATGCACAATAAATTTCTGACAATTATTATAGAATCGCCACAAACTAACATTACCCAAAGCCCACACGACAATTTAAAATTGCGCCTGTTTTACTCATTATCGCCACGACAATTAACACAGGTATATTTCTTTTGTTCTTAGTTATTATTTCATAAACTCTTAACGACGCCAGATTCTAGGTCTAAGCAAATACATCATTCAGAGTATTGGTATATTATTTGGTATGTTAACAGAACAGGGATATTTAATACGCCCCTGAAAAATAACTTTTCATATCGTTAAACAAAACTTAAAGATCAATAAATACTTAATTACTTATTCTAATATGGCTAGTGTGCATTCTGGGATACACATTGTGATACAGCATTTGCTGTTGGACAGGTAACTATTGTTCTAACTTAAAACAATATTTCAAACAATTATAGATTTCAATTAAATGAACTTAACAATTCGATTGAACGTTTAACTAAAATACGGCATTAAGAAATGATTCAATCAGTGATCTTGCGCAGTTCTGAGTTCGTCTCGTAGCTTCAAAAAAATTGCTTCTGGCAACGGTTTGGTAAAGATGTCTACAAATTGGTTATCTGTGGTGTACTCAATGCAAATAACGTTATTTTCTTCTTGCTCTCTTGCAAAATTATGTTTAATATCAATAAGTTTCGTTCCTTTATGACATGAGGGATTATTTGTTATACTGATCCAGCCTTGGTTGTCTTCATAAATTTGGATTGGTTTTTTATACCCTTGCAGAGGGTATTATACTTTAAGTCAGAAGTTTGCAACGCAGTGAAAAAGACGTTTCCGACCCTATAAAGTATATATATTCTTGATCAGCAACACTAGTAGAGTTGATCTAGCCATGCCCGTCTGTCCGTCCGTCTGTCCGTCCGTCTGTCCGTCGGTTGCTATGCAAACTAGTCTCTAAGTTTTAAAGCTCTCTGCATGAAACTTTTCCAAAAGTTGTATATTGCAGGTAGTATATAAGTCGGAACGAGCCGGATCGGACGACTATAGCAAATAGCTCCCATAGAAACAACCGGAAAAATATATAAAAAGAATTATAACTCCCATAGGAACAATCGGAAAAAAATTAACAAAAATTATATCTTAGCTGTTTTTAAATTTTTTTCTTAGTTCTTCGATATATAGTATTGGGTAATTATTTCAGAATTACGGTTTAAATTTCATCAAAAGCGGACGACTATATCACATAGCTCCCATAGAAATAATAAAAATATATAAAATAACTATCAAATAATTGAGCTTCAAATCATCATGTTTTTAAACATATACGCAAGTAAATCATAATTTTAATGTTTTCAAAAATGTTTAATTCTTGCAATAGCTGCAAGGGTATATGCACTTCGGCTTGCCGAAGTTGGCTTTCTTTCTTGTTTAACTTTATATTTACACTGTTAGGGGAGATTTTACCTATTAAGCTTAAGCTCATCGCTTCAAGCAAGGCCATGTACTCTGCTTCAGTCGAAGAAGCTGCAACCGAACTTCATCTTAAATAAGAAACCAGTTGTACTCTTTCTATCAATATGTGGAATTTTTCTTAAAAATCCGATTCATGTCAATATTTGCTGTTAAATACCTAAGACGCCTTTAAAAGCATTGCCGTAACTCGGAATTATTGTTACTACTAACTTTACTTAAGATATTAGTTACGTTAAACAACCAATCATTTTATGGCTGGGTGCATTACAATTTTTATAAGTGTTAATTAATTCATAATTTAGTTTGTTTGGTAACGGAGAATTGACTGCCTTGCTACCGTCCATATTACATTTGCTTTAAGTCCTTCTTATGATAGCGGACTGAACATATTTAAAAAATCTGATTTGAACTTGATTAAATAGGATACAGAATAATGTGTAAATTGGTTTACAAATGTTACATATTTATTTTTGTCATTTATTGTGGAGGGTGTAATTGGATCACAGACATCTGACTGGACTATATAGGTCTCTTTATTTGGTTTTATGACAAACACGCTTGTTTTTCATTTAAACAGGCTCACAAACTTTTAGATTGATAAGAAAACTCTTTCTTTTTATTTATAATAAATTCCTAAGTTCCTTTTTTGTCCAAACCTCTCATGTCACAGTTGAAAACTGTTCTTATTTTATGCATTTGCTGAATATCCTTGAAATTCAGTAATAGGTATATTATTTTACATACTTGCATTTTTGGCCACTATCACCACGTCTTTGGATAAGTATCTCCATTTTTGTCAAACTTGATTCACGTTTCTGCTTTCACGCTTCACATAAGATAAGATTTATAAGATTTCCTGCAGTCTCCTTGCAGGTCAGGACTCTTCCAGTGTTATGTTGTGTCCGCTTAGTTGCGTAGATAAATGATCCCGGATTGGCCACACTTATCTTGAGTGGATACTCCAGGGACTCATCGTTCATTAGATGGTCAGTTGCCCCAGACTCTTGAAGAAACCCACACTTATCCGATTTTGAATTTGTTTTAAACGTTTTAGTCAATTCATTTTTAAATGAGTAATTTTTAAAGTTGTTTTTATTATTATTTCTTGGAACAAATGCTTTCATGACTTTTCTACTTGTGTCTATACTGTTATTTGAATTTTTATTTATGGTCATGCAATCTATTTTTTTCACAAGTTCTAAAGTGTAATTTTCTTTTGTGTGCTATGTAAAACTTTATTCATTTTCACACAAATCAAAAAATCGGACAGTATGGCAGTCTTTGTCAAATGGATGTAGTAGTTTTTAAAGAATTCATCTATTAATATGTCGCTCTAGTATCAGGGCTAGTCTATTTGTATGTGAATGAAGTCTTGATCTGTAACGGGTGACTGTGTTAGTAATAAATGTATATACAGAATTAATTTTGAGATCTCGAAGGATGGGGGCATTTACCATGTGACTTTAAAATTAAATTGTTAAAGGCAGTGCCGCAACAGGGTATGCCCCAAGAAAGAATGGGAATTAGTATAGCCTTGAAAATCCGCGTTTTGGCTGCTAAGGAGAGCGTTCTGCCTGGGCGAAGGAGCCACCACAACTTCTTGGCTCTCTTGCGATGTTGCAAGGTGTAATCACTCCATTGTCTAGCGTAAACCACAAGTGCGCAACTTTATCCATTTCATCTATTTTACCACCTAAAGCTAATAACTCACTAATTTTAGTGAGAGCAACCGTTTTCGGAACGTCAAGCCTCTGCGCTTTAAATCATCTTACTCATCTAGCTCCAGTTCGAAACTTCCAGACGTAGTATTTTTCGACGTCGAAAGGCTTAATATTACGTTTTCCCTTCTCCTTGCTTATTTTTCACACCCAAACGCCTGCGCTGAATTTTACAACCAAACTTATTTTTGTTTTTCCACATCCTATTCAACCTATCCAACTGCAGCTTGAGACCTTTGCCTGACTGCAGCGCTGTCGCCAAGGTGCCAGGTCAGCGTTTTGTCCCTGCCCGTGGCGATCACTCGCTCCGCGAGTGCTCTGTTCTGACTCCGGGTACTTGCACCCGGAACGCGCGGTCAGCGGTTTCTTCGCTGCGCGTGCAGGCCACCGGATATGGTCTGCAACTCGGCAGTTTCTTCTCTTGGGAACTGCCTG